CATTTATGGTTTGATTTCTTTGTATGTATGGATCACTTGGGTTGTTACCAACATCTGGTGAAAATTTCATGTCATTAGCACCGCTAGTAATATATTTACTGAGAAAAATGGTGACGTGTTCAATACTTATTTTACCTGCTGTATAGTGCAGAGGAGTTTAGAAATTTTCTAGCATTGAAAAGAACTGCAATACTTCTTATTTTAGATTGAACATATTTTATATGAGGTTTCCAACAGATCTTATTTTGAGTCAGTATTCCCAAAAACCATATTTCAGTCACTTTCTTCACAGTCACATTATGAATTCTTATAGAATCTGTTGGTATAAACTCAGATGACAGTTTTTTATAAAGAACTGACATCAGTGGATCAGGTGAAGCAGTGACAGGTCCACCTGGATGAAGAAGCTGGTCCTAGTCTTGTTAGTGGCTGCACAGAGTGATGAGTGTTTGTGTGCAGGTGCACCTCCTGGTCCTCCCTGGCACCCAGCAGCACATGCTGTACAACTACTACCCCCTGATGGCTGGATACCAAACCCTGCCACACCTGAACATCAGCCTGCCGCGCTGCCCCGCCTCCAACGTCCTGGCACTGAGACGCTTCCTGCCTCAGAGGATCTTTGTGAAGGTAGCAGCTCCTGTCTGTGTGAGAAACATTTATGTGCTGGAGCAGATCCTGAGCGCGCGCGCGCGTGTGTGTGTGTGTGTGTCCAGCCTCAGGGTCGACAGCCGGACGACGCCTCCATCGCTGCAGCCTGAGGAGAAACTGAAGCTGTTTCCTGTAAATAGAAGAAGGTTTTGTTCTGTAAACACATTCCAGGACATGGAGTTTGTGGATAAATTCATGGGTGAAGTGTTCTAGATGAAGTGAAGGATTAATTAAACTTGTTTCCTGTCTTTTGAGTCTTTATTTATACGGTGCAGTGTGTTTTTCAAAGCCCACACAGCAGCAGAATACAGGATGGAACGGTTAGTATTTTAAACCTGACATGCAGCTGGGCTTTATGTCTGCTTTACTCTGAATAAAATCAACATTTTTCTCTAAGCTTTTGGAGGGAGGGGTCTCTCCAGATAAAGACTTTATATTGCACACTTGTGAAAATGTTAAAGAGAGACTCACCTCTGAAGTGTTGACTTCATGCTACAGACGCAAAGAAGTTCTCCAACAATGCTCACAGCACTAAAACAAGTTGACTCACAGGATGGTGATTATTTTCAGTTCAGTACGTTTTGGATGTTGTTAAACAAACTAATGTTCATTTTTCTTTATTTTCTGTCAACTCATTCAGAAATTGGTTCATTTTTCATAGTGCTTCAATAGAACATAATGTGTGGTGTTCCCAAAGCATTAAAATAAAATTCATTCTGAGGGTTTTGAGCTTGATTCACAGTATTGAACACATTGCTGTTATTTTTTACACAACTAGAGATCATAGCTCAGCAGACGAGACTTTATTACCCCCAATTTACACTACATGTGTTCCCGCTCCGCTCCTCCGCAGCAAACACACACTCATTATAACCAATCAGTGTTTACACTGGCTGTGCACGGTGGCGGTGAGCGGACGGCGATCCATCAAAAGAGGAACAGATCCTATTTTTGACGGATGCCGAAGCAGCTCTGGAGTCAATTTTTAAAGATTACATCACACCAACAGGAAGAGGAACAAGCACAACATCCGTATTTTCAAAATAAGACACTTTTAGGCTGGATAATTTGTCGGAATAATGTCGAAATTGCAGCTATATTAATAAATGTGAGCCATCACATCGAAACGAGGATTAAGTCCAAAAGTTCTACATGGAGAAAAAGGCAAATATAGTGTTTTTGCTAAAATCTTTTAAAAAATTGCATTTTGTCAAAATATAATGAATAAAAGCCTTATTAATGTTTCATTTAAATGAGCTGCCTGAAATATAATCATAAAACAAAATTTTGAAGCACTTCTTTGAACAGTAGCAACAAAAAACTGATTTTGAGGAAAAATGCCTTAAATTTTAGAGATTTTCCCTGTGAGTTAGCAAAGTTTTGTTTCTTTTTAGCTGCAAATCTCAATATTCAAATAAAATTTGAGGTTTCCTCTTTATAAGGACATCAAAAACTCCTCATTAAAATGACAAAATTAGGATTCAGACCAAATATTTATGTATTATTGTAACCAACAAGACAAATTAAGTCATATATATGGATTTAATTATGATATCAGAATGATCCAGGTATCAAAATGTAGCTTTTAAAGACAAGAATCTGAAAATGTAATTAGGTCATTTTGACCAAATTTGACTTGATCCTCATTTCGATATGATGGGTCACACATATATGGATATATTTCTACACAAATGCTGTCAGAATGTATTGTTCTGTTTGGGAAGCATGTGTGTAAACACACGATACACATGGATTTTATTTTGAAATCAGAAGTTTCAGAAAGACGACAGCGAGATAGTTTCAACATAGATACTAAAAGCCTTAATGTCGTTGTTTTCAGCTGTGTTTGGAGTTCGTCTTTCACAGAATTAATAATTTTTTGCTGTTATCATTGGATTTATCACGCGTTCTCCTTCCTGCACTCTCTGTCGGACCGGACCGGACCGGACCGGAGGCTGTATAAATTGAGACACAAAGGAACACCTGCGCACCGCAGCGCAGCGGAGCGGAGACGCATGTAGTGTAAATCCGGGGTCAGTCTGGCTCCAGGACTGAACAGAAACCTGAAGAGGTTTTTCTCTATTAAAGATAAGTGACGAACAGACAAAGCTTCATGAAGGGCTTTCTGAGGTTGTGTCCTCATGTCAGACAGCATCACATGAACTGATCCTGGAGCTGTCTCAGCAGCTCTCAACCCATCAACTAATAGAGACTTAGATGAGACAGATCTGATGTTCACTAATCCATATTATGGATTTATTGTTCTGCTTTGTCTCGTAGGATTTTTCTGATTTATTTAGCTGATTACTGGTTTATTTAATTTGGTCTGTTGGTGAGCTGACACAGTTTCAGTGGGGGTTGGGTGGGTAACAGGTGCGTAACTACAACTCTTGTTGTTGTGAACAGTTTGGATGACCAAAGAGTCGTCCATCTGAAGTTTGACAGATATCATCATCTCAACACTTTCTAATGAAAATTTTCATCAAATAATTTATAATGGTGAAAAACTAAATTTGGTTTTGAACTTATAACCTTTATTATTCCTTTCAGAGTGAGAGGACACCAGTGTTGTATAAAGTACCTCAAAGTGGTACTTGAGTAAAARTACAAGTATCTTATCATAAAAATACTTTGGTAAAAGTTAAAGTCTTCTCTTAAAATATTACTTGATTAAAAGTCTTAAAGTTTCTTTGTATTTAAGCATCAAAGGTAAATTTCTGACACAAAATCTACTGAAGTATTAAAAGTAAAAGTACTGAGTAAAAGTGAGCAGTTAGATTTTACAAAATGACATTTATTGGGAGGTGACTTCTCCAAAAATATATTTTCTAACAGCGTGCAGCTGTGATGGGTTGTGTACAAGATAATAGTGTGTCAGAATGGTATATATTTATACTTCTCATCCAAACACAATTAAATTCACTCTATAGGAGACACAGTTTATCAGGATAGGATTTTTTAAAAGTAATAACTCAGAATAAAATAGGAATAATGACTTTCTTACCTTTTTAAAAAATGTAGTGAGTAAAAGTAAAAAGTACGCTGAAAAATAATTACTCAAGTAAAGTACCGATAACCAAAATTTCTACTTAAGTACAGTAACAAAGTATTTGTACTTAGTTACTTTACAAAAACTCATCTAAATGTTTGCCTGAGTCAACAGCCCTGCTGAGGAAAACAAAGGGTTAAAAGATGAACAGACTAATGTGAAATAAAAACTGTTACGTTGAAAGTTGACATAATAATGAATGTTTGCTTGATTTATTAGAAAGTACTGACATTGTTTAGTGTTTTTTTTATTCTGATGCAGCCAAATCTTATGTCTGTAAACCTAAATATACAACTATAAAATCAAGCTACATTAAACATTTAAAAACATTTAAATAACATTACATTTAATGAGTAAAAAAATAAGTTTCTGAAAAATTACTTTATACTATTGTTGCATCAAGAATTGTTACTAAACCTAAACAAAGAAACTGTAATTAACTAAAAAATATTCTGTGATTTAACAGTAGGTTAACAGATTAGTAATGGTGCCTCATCATCTAATAATTTCATCATATAAAGGTGCAGTGTGAATACTTAGTACAATAAATAACTTCCACCCCACTGGTAAACTGGTTTAATATTCAAAACTGGTTTAATATTCAAAACTGGTTTAATATTCAGTGTTTTGGTACTGGGATGTGTTTGTTGATAAAGTTTATTGAAAAAAAGTATGAGAAGTATACAGCCCTCTGATTGGCTAAGGCACAGAGCTAACCTCTGATTGGCTGAATGGGCGACAGTTCAACTCTCGCGATAATTTGCGGGAACTGGTTTTAAACTTCGGCGGGGACAGCTGGTTGTTACTGTTTACTGATTTATTTTATTGCACAGTCGTGATGTGTTTGTATCAGAGGGACGTTTTCACCTGGACCAAGTGACCAACTGTTCTAAATCCGGACGTTACGGAAGCTGTTTTTGTCCTGTTTCAGGTGGATTTACTTCCTGTTTGACTGCAGCTGGAGCTGCAGGAGGAAAATGTAAGAACCCGTTCATTCTGCAGTTTAAACATAACCCGGGTCATGTCCGGCTTTAACACGAGTTTTCTTCGGTTCTGTTCAAGTCCACAGGGTTCCTACACGGTCCTGAAAAGAACTCCAGGTTCGGAACCAAAGAGAAGGTTCGTGGATCGTGTTTTCTTCAGTACTTTCTGATTTTCTTTTAATAAATGGAGTGAAAATTACCCGTTTTTACAGCTAAAGTCAGACTAGAGGATCTGTAAATATGATTATCTCTAGATTAAAATAAATAAATAATAAAACATCAACTGACCACTTGGTCCTGTTGGGTCAACACCGGAAGTGATCTTCAAGGCAGACTGGTTCCAACATGTAAGGCTGGAGGGACAGGTCTTCTGTTGGTGACATCTTTTAATTCATTTGTAAACATTTTTATGCAGCTATATAGTCGTTAATGAACTGGTTTGGAAGCTGGAGGGGGCGGGGCCATTCAGTCCAGTTGTTTTGTTTTTTATACTGGTTTTGGATTGATCAGGACCTGACCTGATGACTGACTGTGGGCTGCTGTTTGTAAAGTTACACAGTCAAACATTACCACCAATAGTTTTGTTTTATTTAGACTTTTATAAGAAAAAAAAGAACTGATTTATTTTTCAAAGTCAGTTTTTCACCATATGATTCATAAATGTCATAGTTTATAAACTAAATATTTAACTTACAAATTAAATATTTAGTTAACAAGATAAATATTTAACTTGTGACCTAAATATTTAGGTTTGAGCTAATTGTTTAGCTTGCCACCTAAATATTTAGCTTAAATATTTATCTTGTTAACTAAATATTTAATTTGTAAGTTAAATATTTATCTTGTTAACTAAATATTTAATTTGTAATTTAAATATTTAGTTTATAAACTATGACATTTATGACA